TGGGACTCCTCTCCTCTTCCCCCTTCCTCATCTTTCCTCTCCTCCCCTCTCCCCATTCACAGCTACCGGCTTTGCTCCCCTATGTCCTTCCAATTTGACAGTCTACCTTGGCACAGGCCCAAGGCTGATGGGGCCAAATGAACATGGATTGAAAGGTCTGAACTCTGAGATCAAATACAATTTCCTCCTTCTAAGTTGATTCATTTTGGTGTTTTGCCACAGTAACAGGCAGGTGACTAACACAAAGGTCTCTTCAGAGTCTCTAGATGAAACATACTTCTTGCCTCGAAGTTCATTGTCATTAAGAAAAACATGACTCATGGGAAAGAGCTTTGTTCCCTTGGCTTAGGATCAGGGCCATTGTGATTTGACTTTCTGATGGGGGTAGACTGATTTTAGAAACGGATTGTGGTTCGATAGCCTTTTAATCTAGTCTGGGCTTGTGACTCAGCTTTCGTATGCTTCTGCTTTTTTCTTGTATTCTTGCTGTTTCTGTGTGAGTGATCTCAAAGCAGCCTGTTTGAGGATGAGGGTTACATGGCTGTTACAAGGGTGAGAGTAAAAGATGGTACAGCTGCCCTTGTCGAGGCCATCCCACACAGTCAGAAGCTACGTACACAAGACACAACCAAGATCAACAGAGCTTCCTACTCACTCCACAGCTGCAGGCAAACATGTGGCTTAGCCCATGTAACCAGTTGGCAATAGACACATGAGAAAGAGCAAATGCCCATTGAGTAATACCTTCTTATATATAGTTTTGCTTCCAGAAACTTCAGTTACCTACAATAAGCCATAGTCTGGAAATATTAAATAGAAAATCCCAGGAACAAATAATTCATAAGTTTTAAAGTTACATGCTGACCTGAGCAGCGTGATAAAATCTCCACCTAAGACATGAAATTTGTGCATCGATTCCAAGCTATGTATCCTATCTTCCAATTAGTTACTTAACTGCAGTGTGGGTTATCAGACTCACTGTTGGGGAGCTGCAGTGCTGTTGTCCAACTAGTCCTTGTTTTTCTGAATACTGCCTCAAGGTGCACTGAGTGGTGATGCAGGTAACCCAGACCAGAGAAAAGCTGCAAAGCTCTTCCTTTACCTGAGTATGTGGGGGTTCCAAAAGAGGTTGCATTTACATCGCTGTTATACATCAGTATGATTGTCTTATTTATTCTTAGTTATTGCTCATCCCCAAGGTGTGCAGGCATAGGAGAAAATACTTAGCATATGTAGCATTTGGTAGTATTTGGCCATCCCTGGGGAAGATCGTATCCCCTGTGGGCAGAGGGAAGCTTTAAGTTTTAAGCCTCTGAGTTTGAAGGTTTTGTCAGACACAGCTGACTGGTGTGCTTTGTCTTACAGGTTGGGAAGAGATGATGCATCTTCAGAGAGGAGGATATTACCAGAAACAACCATCTTGATGAGAACAAGAAGCAGCCTAGGAAACACACTGGTGCTGGTGTGCCAGGGACACTTAAACACTGTTGGGGACAATAGACAGAATATTTGAAACTGAAATGAACTGAGAAAAATCTAAAGAGCCAGTTCCCTCATCCATGACCCCTCCCCGCCTGGAAGACAAGAGGCTGGAGTGTATGCAAAGGGGAAAGGGGGAACTCTACAGGCTGTGAGCTTCAGCGCTAGCCTTGGGCAGCCTGCAGGGCTGACTGAATGGGAGTCAGAGAAAGTAGTGAGAGAGAGTGGGAAGAATAGTATTAACACAAAACTGTCACCTTCAAGGCCAGCCTCCCTCCTCCTCCTCGTCCTGTTCTGTACGTCCTGTTCATTGCACCTCACATACCCTAATTTTGCTCCTGTCAAAGGTACTGTTAATCACTACACTGGACGATTACTAGTCCTTCCTGTTCACTGTGGAGGGACCTGAGTACCAAGAATTGGAGCCAGGCTTTGAGCGTGTGCTTACTCATCAACCCTGTTGGTTAACCACCACTGACCGCTATCTCCTCTTTTACAGAAGTGAAAGAGAGAAAGAATGGTAGAGCAACTTGCTTCACTGCGAAAGCAGGAAATGGCCAAGGCAGGATGCAAACCTCCACAGAGGGCTCCAGACATCCCTGACTGCTGTGTCCCTTTGCAGTTGGCTGCAGGTTTTAGCCCCACCCCAATTCTTGTGTTTCAGAACTGGGCTACCTATATCACCAGCAACAGCTTCTCACCTCTTGGGTTCTTAGGCAAGTAAGTGACAAAAAAATGTCAGGCACTTTTCCTGGTGGTGGTGGAGGGTGGGAGCACACACTATTGTAATTACCACTTATCACCTGGAGCAGGCCCAGGGAAATCAGATCCAGAATGGGACTGTGTGGCTCACCTGGGAGAGCTCAGTTTTCACCTCTGGCCAGCTGCCAGAGCCACCTCTCTGGCCCCTCCCGGCAGAGCACAGCATCTGACAGGCCAGGCCTGGGTGGCTTTATCTCCAGCAAGCACCCGGCTGCTCTCACTCTGTGCTCTCTGGGACTTTGCTTGTGGTTTTAATGAAAGCCTTCATGTAACATTGAAGAGTTGTCAGTTATTGCTTCTGGGAATAAAATTCAGCCTCTGCTGGGGTTGGACCCCCAGACATTTCTCTCAAGGGAGTTGCGGTTTGAGTAAGCCCTCATGTGAGCACCTCTCAAGTGTAATTAGATGTACCAGCTGGGGCTCCTCCCAGACAGCCAGTAAACAAACAGTGAGACCTGCCAGACTCTGGTGTGTGTGTGAGAGAGAGAGACACATATCACCTACCTCATTCTGAGTGGTCTGTCAAGAAGCCTGGTTCAGGCTTCTCCCCACACCCCAAAGATAAGAAGACAAAGCTGAAACTCAGGCCTGCATAGCTACAATGGCATCGCCAGAGCCCTAGACACCAGATTAGTCCACTTGAAGCTCAAAGTGCCACTTGCTTGGGTCTCCCCTGGAACCACCAAGTCCATACCCAGGGCTGGGCTTTGGGGATTTCCATTGCTTAGCCCTCTGTCCTGGCCTCAGAATACTGACCTCGGGCATGTGAACCTGACAAAAGATGCTCTGTGTATACCCTCCTTCCAAACCGGGCAGTACCATGTGTACATACACTGCACCAAGTCAAGCCAGCCATTTCTGTGTCTTAGAATTCCTCACTAGCTATTGCACAGGACAGCTGACGCCACTTCAGCAGCTTTGCTCTTGGCCACTCTTTGGGAGGGGGCAAAGGCAACCTCACTGAGAAGGCAAAAGGACTTTCTAGAGCCTGGTGAGTGGACCGGAAGTCCCTCATTTTGACAGTGGCAATGAGAAGTGAGTCTGTAGCCTGTAGCTGGCTAGACCTGGGACTTGCTATTGATGTAGTGGGGGTTTTAGCCATTGACACCATCAGGCATTTGTATCAGGGAGCATAGGAACACCATATTTCCCAGTGGGGTTGATTTTGTTGTCCCCTTGCACATTTAGCAATACCCTGAGACATTGCTGGTTGTTACAATGGTGAGGTGGCACTACTGGCCTCTAGTGGATAGAAGCTGGGAATGCTGTTATATCTCATATCAGACAAGATAGATGCAGCAAACAATTGTCTGGCCTGGAATGTCAATAACCAACTCCATTAACACCGATAGTGGGGGAGAGAGGTGGCTCAGCTGTTAAGAACATACATCACTTTTGTAGAGAACCCCCCGGTTAGGTTTGTAGCACCCGCACTGGGCAGATAACAACCACCTGTACTTCCAGCTCCAGCGGATCCAATGCTGTCTCCTGGCTTCTGCATGCTGCTGCACTCACACGCATGTTTTCCTATATGCGCATACACTCACAATTAAAATGTAAAAAATTTAAAAATGAATGCAAACAGACTGGACTTGGGGGTGATCCTAGTTCCTCAGGAGGCTGAGCCAGGAGGATTCTGAGTTCAAGGCCTACCTGAACTACAGAGGGAGTTCAAAGACATCCCAGATAACTTAATGAGATCCTTATCTCACACACAAAGAAAGTAAACAGAGGTCTTGGGAATACAGGTTAGTAATAGATTGCTTGCCCACGGTTCGTGAGATTCAATTCCTCATACCTGAACAACAGCAACAAATATGCAAGTGGTAGTACATAGATACACATACAAGACACATACGAGTAGACATAAAAGATGCCCTAAGTCCAAACCCTCGACAGCCTTGGTGTGCCAAGCACAATGCTAATTTAGGCTTTGGTTTGGGGTTTTCTAAGTTCCCACTTGTCATTATTCAGAAAGAAGATGTAGCTTAACCCAGGGGCCAGCAAAGAGAGCCTTAGTGGTGGGTCCCATAGCCAGTACCCCATATGATGTAAACTTAAAGGACTTGGTTTACCGAAGGCCTGACTTACACCCTGGAATCCTTGGATGAATTGGACAGTGCTTTAACAGAAGCACAAGGATGAACAAATATTAAGTTCTGGCTGCCTGATCAGATTTATTCCATACAGAATCCCCAGGTGGTCTCTTTACTGAAGTGTTCAAAAACAGAACATTTAGTTGATACAATTGTATCTCCCATGCAGTAACCAAGTGGAACCAGTTACAGGATAGAGTATAGCACAGGAGCTGTTAGAGAAGCCAGGCCACAGGGGCCAGCTGTTTTCTCTACAGTTGATTCAATGCCGTCCCGTGGTTGGCGGTATGTGGAGGAGGACGCTTCTCAAGGATCTAGTCCTTGGCCAGCTCCTCAAAGGGCACACACAATTTCTTTCTGCTATAAAGTGAATCTGGGCATTTTATAGCTGAAAAGGTGCAATTCCATTTGAATCAATCAAAGGACTGAAGGCAAAGGCTCTTGATGGAGATTAAAAGCATTATTCCCTGATTGACGGTCCTATGGCTGAAGCTTAAGCAAGAGAGTATCTTGCTCGAGGGAGGCCTGTTATCTTAGCCACACTCACACAGGGATTGGGGGTTTGCACACATCACATTGAAGGAATATATGTCTTAACTAGAACCCTGTAAAATTTCTCCTTTATAAAATATGTACATGGTAATAATATCAGGGGAAGCATACCTTTCAGCCACTTTGGACATTTTCAAACAATGTCTGTCAATCTGTGCGTTCAAAAACGTTATCTGGCAGAAAGAGAGAACATGGGTGCTGAGGTCAAAACAGAACTCGATTCTCCTTTCTGTGAACCCAAATCCCTGCAATCACACCGAGGTCTAATCACCTCCTCAGACAGCACTCCTACTCTGTAGCTGCAACCAATGTGCCCTTTTAGAAATCCCTGCCACACTTAAGGTTCTAATACAATTTAGTTTACATCTAATTTTCACCTGTTCATAACTATCATTTAAATTTTACTTCCCCCAAAAAAGTATTCACTCAAAAGATAGCATATAGTCTCCAAAGCAACAGAATGGATAGACAATATGTATACTATAAAAATCCTAAACTCCAGTAACAGTTCCTCTGCCTACTTTCCATGTGTGTATCACACCCATGCATTTGTCATGTTTAACTAGAAACAGCAAATAGCTACTTTGCATCTGTCTGTTTCTTTCCTTTTACCCTAACCATTAGCTTGTCAAGGAAAGGCATTTAAAGTCACTCTTTGCCAACCCCTGTCAAAAGCCAGTAAGGCACAATAAAAAGGTCTCAGAAGGCAACAATGTTCCCAGTCACTCTGTTAATGGGGCTTCCTCACCACAACAGTAAACAATATGTAACGAAATGATGACTTTGGGCTGGGGCTCTCTTTATTCTTATGTCTTCTCTTTGAGTCTTAGCAATATACAGGTAGTGGCCCTGGACTGGTGTATTCTGGAAGTTCATCATAATACTAAGTTCTCCAGGAAGGGACATTCGCCTCTCCTTCCCTAGTTCCCACAGGAGGCAGTGGGAGACCTTGACCTCAAAAGTCAGCACACCAGTGGGATAGCTCAGTCACACACTGTTTAATAACTGCTGGAGAAGCTTAGAGGAGAATTTCTCAAGCTTTTGTGAAGTGTCACGTACAGGCTCAAGTCATCCACCAGCTGGGTTCTGCTGTCCACAGATCACCCTGGGAATATCATGCTCCCATGCTCACCTGTTTTCGAATGTCATCCTTTGTAGTTTTCCTGATTGGCTGGCTTGGTATGTGCACTGGACTCTGTGACTGGGACTCTTCAGTCACACCATACACTGACTAAAAGATGAAGCAAAAACACAAATCACACACCTTCAGTGTCATGGGTGGCACAGGAGCCAATCCATCATCTCATTCTTTCAACTGTCTCTATAGCATCCAAGCCACATGACTGGCCTCTGTTTGAATTTCTCCCATGGTAGACCTCTCGAGAGACCTCATCTTCTTTGGGTTATAACACTGGGAAAATCCTTCATTTCCTTGAGGAAATGGTCTCTCTATGTAGCATTGTTTCTTTAAATATGGCTTAGAGGCCAACCAACTTCAAAGATCAGTTGGAGGTCCTCAGTAAAGAGGTACATTGCTGAGTCCCACTCCAGATGGACCCAATCAGGATTCTCATGGGTGGGTTTGGGAATCTGTTCTTTAAACAAATACCCCAGGTGATTTGGGGGTCAACACTGAGCTCAAGAACAATAGCTGTAAGGTACATTCAGAAATTCCCCAGGGTTTCTTGATGGTCAGCAGATGCCATGCCCATCTGGCACAACGTTGAGATGGCAGGCTTCCTGGCTAGTGCTCCTTGTAAATTAAGCAGTTTTCTGGCCTTGGTTTCTACTAAGGCATAGCTATGACTGCTGTTCAAATTGTTCATGGTATTACAAACAGGGAAAGAAATATCCCTGAAGGATATGCTTTTGTACAATTGCAAAAGGCTCTGATGACATATACATAATTTCATAAATATCTGGGATATTAGAATTAGGGGTCCTTAAAGACTAAATAACGACAGTTAAAACTAGAGGTTTAAAATACAACACAGTGGCCACTGTTGTTTACCCAATGAGCAGATTATATAAGTACATACCTGGGGTTTCGATCCCTCTGTGTCTGTCTGTCTCTGTCTCTTTCTCTCTCTCATACACACATTACTCCTTGTCTAAATATCTAAATTCCTTCCAAATCCCAAATATGACAAGTAGAAAATTCTATACCTCATCTCGTGGAATAGGTTCTGATTAAAACACAGGACCACTGGAAATCTTACATAACATTATTGTTGGGCTATGTTCATAAGATAGCTATAAAACAAGTGAGTTTAGCACTCAAACTTGAGTCATATTCCCTCCAAGATAGCTTGATAGGTATATGAAAGTGTTTCTAAATCCTGAAACACTTCCGATCCAAAGTTTTCTGGATTCATACTTGGTCATACTTGGGGACATTTGTGGATATACCCTAACCTTCTGAAATTGGTGTTAGAGAGCACAGCCATATTCTCCTGTAGAATGGTCTTTGGAGAGGGTGAATGTATTGATGGAGGTAGTCTGGGTATGGTCCTCATGGGGATGCTGTGGTCACTACCCATGTTAGTCTAGTGAAATACAAGGGATTCTAGGGTCATTCAAAGTAGGGCAAGAAGGTGATGTGGGGTTTGACAATTTAGCTCTATTTAAACTCTCCCATTTGCTTCTAAGGACCCAAAGCCCTTTGTGACTGCAGGGTCTTCCATGTTTTGTTGCAGTGGTTTCTTTTCTTCACTGCAACCTCCCCAGAGCCAGCAGCTATTTACGCTTGTCTCAGGGGACCCTGCTCATATAAAGCCTCTGGGAAGCCCCACTCTGTTTTAGCTGCACCTCCAGGGGCTCCTGAACAAGTCCCATTTTTCCTAATACAGCACAGTAGCTCTGTTGCCTGTGTTCTGGTTTCATTCCCTTGAAGACTAGGGGATCTCCGAGATCTGGACCTGAACCCCAGAATTTTGCACACTAAAACATACCAGCCACCCAATAGACATTTCTAGAATCTATTAATAAAATGATCTCAAAAGGTAAAGTGTAGCAGAATCACAAGCAGAAAAATCACTATGTGAAGACTACCAGAAACAGAGGACTATCCCCACTAGGAAGTTGTAATTCAACTAAACCAGCAGACCTTTTTAACCTTTTGAGGGTTCTTCAAACGTCGGCATTTTCTGATATCCATTTCTGTTGTGTTCACACAGCCTGGCTGAGAGAAAAAAATAGTATAAATTACTAAGTGAAAATTATGCTTCCAATTGAATCCAAGTAATGCCATCAGACCTAATCCTTCCCTTTGCAGATAATGCATAATCTTTTTATCTTGCCATAATGCGTGTTTCTATGTGGAGTTCTCACTGGAAATATAAAATATGACCTTATAATCAGGATGCCTTGTGGAAGGCCTGGTATGCATTCCTGCCACCAAATCTATATTTAAAGTGGCCATAGTGCTTTGGGCATAGCCTGAAAAAATTCCCATGTCAGGACAGGAAGGTTCTTTTTGATATTGTTGCTTTTAATCAGTTTTTAGGAAGGTTGAAATAGTTTTGTTCATTTTCAATTCCATTTCCTGGGGGCAATCGAGATTTGTTTTAATAATGTGAAATCAGGGACACAGTCAAGCTTCATTGTGTACTGATTTGTGAATTCATCTACTTGCTGAGTTTTCTCTGTAATGTGCAAATCAGTGTTCTCAGAGCCCAATGACCATTTACAGACACACGAAGAAGAACAATAATTTGAGTCACCACACATAACCATGCCCAGATGAGGCTGAGCAGGGTGAGGCTCTGCCTTCCTATTCTAAGCCATAGAGACACCTTTATAGGGCTTATTTGTTGCCAGGCTTTCTACATTTTTGTGTTTATCTTGGTGATATTTCCATTTTGGTAGTCTTCAAGCAGGGTGTCAAAGAATTGAGTAGGGCTCTAAGGGTGAAGGGGTTCCCATGTGCCATAGGAGAAAACAGAACGACTGTGATCTGGCCTGAAGTTCTGCCAGTTGTGGGTTCAACACAGTGAATCAACATTATATATTAAATATGGTATCTTTACACAGGAACACACATGAAAAAAGCCAAAAGCCATGTATTGATCAAAATATATGAACAGTTTCTGGAAGGAAGCTAGCTCACCCAGGAACAATACTTCAATATTCACTAATTCAGAGTTTTCAAAGACTTTATAGAACATGACTAGCATAAATGACCAGACTTAACAGTATGTAAGAAGACTATCTTAAGATTTGGGGCTTAATGATGGCAGAAACAAACATTGCTAATTTGGAGGAATAGAGAATTCTATTCCTCTCCTGGAATCCACATTGTTTCCCCATTTCTAATCCTACATTTTCCCCAGTGTATAATTTTTAAAAGATGGGACTGACATACACCCCCGCCCCCACGGAGATCTGTGGGGAGAATATGAATGAATGCAAAGAGAATTTCACAAAGCTTAGCAGTTATCTTAAGGAACAGTCACTTGGTCACTAAAGACAGTCGAAAAGAAAGAAGTGGGCAGATTCAGGACAGCAAACCACACAGAACTTCCTCACCACTGGCCTGTGGACATCCCAAAAGGCCCGTTCTTGACTATCCAAAATTTTCCTTTCTGTCTTATCCTTTTTCCGATCAATCCTGAAAGAATAAGGAGAAGAAGTGAGAAGTGTTTTACTGTTTTCTCTTCTGTCTCCTCAGCTCTTCTGCTCCTAAGGGCCAAGGTTGAACCCAGACTATTGCCACCAAAGTGACCCCTCAGTGACCCCACGAGTGGCAAGAGCTTGTTTTAGGCTGGATTACAGATTATCATTTGTGAGCAATGAAAATGATAGGCAGGAAGAATGAGCAGAAACAGAGTTGCCCACAGGAGGTATCAAGATCTGGGCTACTAAGAACTGAATTCTCCATCGTCTGCCCTTACTTCGGAGCAAATTCTGCCTGTGTGACTTGAAAAGAAGGGACACAGCCACCTGTTGGCCAATGTTCCATCTCAAACATGAAATTTTAAATGGCAGTTAAAACATCTGTAAGATGCTCCGATTATGTGTTTTAAAAATCACTTAAACCATCTGGATTTCTAAAAGGCAGAGCAGTGGCCCCAGGGCCTGTGATAAGACCCAACAATAAATATCACCAGCCTCAATTGGGGAAAGGCACCAACTGCAGGAGGAAAACTATAGATGGCAAAGCTAGATTCCATGTGTCCTGACTGGGAGCACAAAAAAGAGCACCCCCCCCAAAGCATGTATCATTTCACATCATCTAAGTAAAAAGCAACTCAGATTAATTGCCATGTGACTTGTGGTTCTCAGCTCTCTTGGGAGCCCTTTAGTTTACTGGACTGAAATAAACCCATAACCACCCTGTGATTTTTGTGATAATTGCTGTGTACTTAAATGGCCCACAATTATTATGTAATCACAGAGTTAATCAGGAAAGTTAATGGAGAAAAGCCATATATGTACCGAGTGACAGTTTCTCCCTCCTTTATAGTATGATGCTGTTTGATTCTGGGGTAGCTAATCCACTCTTCTCTTTGCTTCCCAGTGGCTGGTGGACACCCAGATACAGCTCTACCTCACTCCATCCAGATCAGAGTCCCTGCTCCCACCCGCCCTCCCCCCTCCTACTTCCCAGATGGTCCCTGCAGTCATTTAGTGCCTAGTACCTGGTGTCTGCCTTCCCTTGGGGACATCTGGGAACCCTGGGCTGGGAAAGAACCAGCAGGAGGCTGGCACCATGGACAGGGGAAAGGTAGAAATAACTGAGGGAGAATGGCGGCCATGATGGTATCAGACTGCTGGGCCAGATGACCTCTGTTCATTTCCAATGGTGACCACTGGTGATCAATAATGACGCACACAGCCCCCAAACTTGACCCTAGGTGTTGAGTGGGGCCACTCCCAGAGCATGAAGAGGTTCTTGGAAGCTGTGTGTGTGTGTTTTTTTGGGGGGGCTGTTCCCCTCCAAGGGATTCTCAGAGAAAAGGTCCCTGTGTTCTTCCAGCTCAGCCTCTTTCCCATCCCTCTTCTGTCTTCCTTTGCCTATTGGCACTGCTGGCTAAGCTAGACATGATCAGTGTGAGAAAAGGGAGACCTTGGTCGTAGCAATTCCATGGTCCTAGGTGACATCCATTACCCATCTTTCATGCTTCCTTATTGAAGAAGCAGCCTCCAGTCTGTTTCCATGGGTGAAGATACAGACAAAACCCTTCCACCTTTTTCCTCCTTCCCTCTGTGCCCTTTGAGGAAGATGAATGAGTTCATCTATGGGGAGATTGGAAAGCTCACACTGGTTCTTCTGGGTTAGCCTGAGCTCAAGCTATCTGTTCTCTGAGGTGAGCTTACAGGGGTGGAGGTGAGGAGGCCAGCTCTGTTCCTGCAGAGGTATGTAGATACCGACCTCTGCTCAGGAAGGACATAGCTTCTAAGCCATGCCTCATAATGGAGTTTCAGTGCTGAACCCAGAAGTCTAAATTCTGTGCCTTATTTTTCCATTAGTTTTAAGCTTCGTTCCTCTATGGAAGACGGCAAGAGTGAACTTATCCCTCATCTGGTATAAATGCAAAAGGTCCTTCCCACAGGTTTCTGAGTTCAAGCACTTGGTCCCTACTATTGAAGCTGTTTGAGGAGAGTGTGAAGTCAACGGGAGGTGGGGCCTGGGTAGAGGCAGTGGGTCACTTGGGGGCAAGCCCTTGGAGGTATATATAGCCCAGGCCTGGTTCTGATCTAGCTCTCCCAGCTTCCTGATCCTCCACGATGCAAGTAGCCCCTGCCATAGACTCCCGCTACACCTTCCACTACGATGTGGCGTCCACCCCACCCCCAAAACCATGCACCCATAGAAACCTTTCCTCCTTAGGTTTCCTTTGTCACAATGTTGACAAAAGTAACTAGGACTCTTCCTCAAGTTTTAGCACGTTAGCCTGTGGAGTCTAGGGCTCTAGCCCACAATGAACCCAGCCTGGTGTTCTCCAGTCTCAGCAAAGACATCTTACGGAAATCTCTGGGTAAGGTACATCCTTCAGCTCTGCCTTTGAGAAGGCTCTCTTTTTCTGATGAAATTGTTCTAGCAAGACCTCAGTTCCCGATGGGACACCTGTTCATCAGGATCTTCCTATTATTTATCCCATCTCTCCTGGGGGATGAGAGAGACCAAGCTGGGTGGGAACCTTCCTTTGGCCACCACACCCTCTAGAGAGCTCTTTTCTCTCCCAGAAGTCTCTGCTGCATCCACTTACTTCACTTGTGCCTCTGCTTGCATAAAGATGAACTCCCACTTTCTTGCAAAGGCCCTCTGGAGTCTTGCTAAGTTTTCCTGGTGAGAAATAAAAATCAATAAGAAGATATTAATCACCATAAGCTAATGTATCAACACCTATGCTTATTATAAGGCAGCCATCATTTCTGGCTTCCTCCCATCAAAATAACAGGGTCTCATACTAAAGCCACTGGACATGAACCCCAATTTGACTTTCCACTAGGCTCTGATGAATTGCTTAACTCTTAATATTCATTTATAAGTCTGAGGTCTGTGGGTCACCCTGATTCATCTTCTCTCAGGTGTTATTTTGTAAACACAAGTCACATAGTGCTTGGTATAGAGGCTACGGGAAAGGTTGCCTGGTGGCCGTGGGAAAAGGATGTCAGGGTCATCCCATAGCAAAGCTCTGGATGGAACTCTTGAGCATAATTCTTCCAGTAGGGATCTGGGGATGTTGAAGGAAAGGGGAACCTAGAATGCTTTGCGTGGGTACTTTCTAAGGTCAGGATTCAGAAGTGGACCAAACAGAGTGACTGTTTGTGAGGTTCCTGGAAGGAAAAAAAATCAGAAACAGGAAAAGAAAGGAAGGAAGGGTGGAAGGAGGGAGAAAGGAAGAAAGGAGAGGGGAAGAAGGGGAGGAAGGGAAAGAGGGGGAAGGGAGGAAAGAAGGAAGATTATCCATCCAGGATCATCTTTAGAGGGAAAGGGGAAAGCTGTTTTTCCTCTCAGCCTGCAGACTTTTCTACTGGAACCTCAGGACAATGGGAAGAGGTGTTTGACAGCAACTCTAATGATCCCCCTAATTCTGATTAATGCAAGACTTGAGCCCATATTATGGAATGTATTTCCATAGAGCTCATGTCAACACTAATTGATTACCGTCATTAGTAGGTTATTAATGTAAGAGAAGCCTTGTTTAAGAAACACAAAAATTCACTACTTTGAAAAGAACTATCCCTTTGATGTTTGCATTCTTTGTAGGAAGTCTGGCTGGTGATACCTAAATGTCAATCACTTAGGGAAGCAGTGAACTATGACTCTATCATACTGTGGATTACTAGGCAATCTAGTTAGTATTACTAACGTAGATTGATTCCCTGGATGTCTGTCATTAGAAGAAGTAGCAGGAACAGTCAAAACTTGTATGTACAAAAAAAAAACTTAATGGGGGAATCATAGGTCATTTTCTCCCTTTTGCTGTCTGAATTTTTTATTTCCTATGAAGAATACATGAAGTCAGAAAATTTTTAATAAAATCAGCATGCTTTGGGAACAAAATGCATGCTTTGGGAACAAAATGCATTTGTAGTTTCTAAGCATTTTTATGCAGAACTTAATCATGGGGGGAAAACATTTTATGCTGTATACTTTACAAATATCAAAACAGATCACTGTGGAGCAAGCGAACAGAAAACTGAATAAAACACACCAGAAGCTGATGCGTCATTTCTGTGTAATGTATTTTCTAAAACACAGAAACCTGGACAAGAGCACCAGAAGAATTGGGAACCTTGCGACATGCTAGGGAAGTCACACGGTAATAGCAAAGCTGTTTGCCTTGGGTATGTAGCAAGTAAAACAGCTGGCTTTGGAAAGACAGGTGATGTGACTACTGGGACATCAGGGCACACAGGTAAGCATCCAGCTCCCAGGATGTTAAAAGACACAGACATACTGTTGCAGGTTTGGAGATGGTCACACAGGATGGTTCAACATGTGATGTGATATGATATGCAAACACTAAGTAGATCCTGGGCTCCTAGGCAATCTCCCAGCATCCATCTCTACTCTGCCTCCCAAACGCAAGTCTGTGATACCAACAGGCTCAAAGAAGGCAGCATGCCATGCCCAAGCCCTGCTCTTCACTGGCTACACGTTTGCCTTAGGGTGGTGGAGAGGGGAGCTATGTTATCTCCTGTCCCCTAGCTGTCACTCTTTAGTCAGTTCAGTTCAGCGGCATCTGTACCACACATAGTATGTGGTGGGGAGGTACATGAATACATAACCAATTTCCCTGGTTCTCTGTGTTGCTTGTGAGACGTGGTGTGGGGAAAAGGTTCTGTAACCAGAAGTTAAACATATTCACAATGATACGTGAGTCTTCATGTCCTCAGTGTTTTCATTTCCAGACTCTGCCAAGTGGGTGGGGCTAGCAGAGTGGGGAAGTGGGATGTCTAATTCGTGCAAGGAAATACATTGTATGACAAAGATAGAGGAAAATAAGTGACAGAGAAAGGAGACCTCCCTTGCAATGGGTGCCTTGTCTCTCCTACTAAGCTTAGGAGATGGATATAAAGGTGGAATTAAAAACTTTGATCTGAAACTTGTTGCTCAGAAAATTTGACAATCTTCCAGAAAAAAATGTGAATGCCCAACACATGTATATAGTTATATGCCAGAATCAGGACTTCAGATAGTTCCATTACTTCTCCAAATCCCCTGGGATTTGGTCATACTCCAATCCATCTATAACTACATATATTGATCTGTTTTCCTTCATAGTATATGTGCTATCTTTGCAAGAGTGTCAAAAATGGGATGGGTGGCTTAAGACTGGATTCTTTCACTCAACACTATGCCTGCAATGTAGTTGTGTATAACAAGAACCAATTCCTTTCTACTGCAGGATACTATTCCATTGTATGTACCTAGTTACTAACTAGGTACATTGTACGATGTATCTAGTAAGTTAGCTACATTTGTCTAATAAGATGTGTTTGGGTTGTTTTCAGCCCTGGGGTATGACATATAAACCTAATATGGTAACATGGTGATTTTGATGTAAAATAGGTTCTGATTTCTCTACTTGATTATATGTGATAACTGTATACTTAGCTTTATAAGAAACTGCCATGACATAAACCATTTTTCCATTCCCTAGTAATACAAAAGAATGTGTCCTGCATGTTCACTGACACTGGCTGTTAGTTACACCTTTCATTTTAGCTATTCTAATAGGTGTAATGGCATCTCACCATGGATTTACAATCTGTTTCCCAAATGGCTAAGGTATTGAGCATCTTCTCATGTGTTAATTTCTCATCTTTTGTCCTCTTTGGTGAAATATCTGAATAAGTCCTCTACCCATTTTTATGTTATTTCATTATTTATCTATACTATTGTATAGATGAGACAGGGTCTCACCACATAGCCCAGACTGGCATAGCCCAGGTTGGACTCAAACTCACAATATTCCTGTCTTACTGGGAAGCCAAATACTTTGTGGGTGCTGGGATTACAGGTATGTTCCACCAGAACCCACTTGAACTGTTTATTTTTAGCTGTTGAAGTTTGAGAGTTATTTATATAAGGATGCAATTTGATTGGCATGGTGAGAGGAACTGACAACAAAGGAGAAACAGAACACAGAACAGACTTCCTTCCCACTGCCTGGACATTCCTCCCACCCTGGCCTGGGAGTCACCGTACTCACTGCTTCGTAGTCTGCCAGTTCCAGCCTTGCTTTGTTCTGCATTGTCCTCTTACAGAGGTATATGGCTGAGGAGGAAGAGAAACAACAGCCGTATAAAGCCAGCAGTGCCATGGAATGGACCCAGCATGTGCCGCTCCTGCCAGTCACCCACTATGCTGGTTAGTTTCATGTCAACTTGACACAAACTAAAGGGGAAGATGGAACCCCAGTTAAGAAAATGCCTCCATGAGAGTGGACTGTACACAATCCTGTAGGACATTTTCTTAATTAGTTATGGGGAAAGAGACCTGACCAATGTGGGTGGTACCATCCCAGGGCTGGTGGCCCTGAGATCTATAAGAAAGCAGGCTGAGCAAGTCGTAAGGGGCAAGCCAGTAAGCAGCACCCCTACATGGCCTCTGCATCAGTCCCTGCCTCCAGGTTCCTTCCCTGTTTGAGTTCCTGTCCTGACTTCCTTTGATGATGAACAGTAATGTGGAAGTGTGAACCAAATAAACCCTCTCCTCCCCAATTTGTTTTGTTATGGTGTTTCAACACAGCAATAGTAACCCTAATTAGAGCACTCACCTAGACCATGCCAATGAGCAGATCTCCAAGAGGAAAAGCTTTTCAAAGTGGGTGTCATATGGGTGTCATTGCATTTGACATCCCCTTTCTTCCCTCTGCTATGTACTGAACACTGTCGGACCAGCATGACCTTTCACAAGCATGGCCATGACCTGTGTTGCATTCTCAGTGACCACAGAAGAAAGACTGTCTTTAGAGTCACAAATATGGCTCTTTATAATCCCGTCTTGCTTGGTCAAACCTCCTCTTCTCTCTCCCATGAGCTTTACGAGGCTTAGCAGCATGTGCAGAGGTCAGAGGTCAACCTTCAGTGTCTTTCCTTAGATACTACAGATCTTGTTTTTTGAAACAGGGTATCTCGATGGGACATGGGGCTTGCTAGTAAGTGCCAGGACCCTCCTGTTTCTGCTTCCCCAGCATGGGCTTTACCAGTGGGCACCACCACATCCAGCTTTTCATGGGGGGAGGGGCCTACACTGAAGTCCCTCATACTCACACTGCAAGCATTTTACACTATGTCACCCCTCCCCCAGTCCCACTAATATCTGAAAAGCCAGCCCAGTGTTCCAGTGAGCATCCGAATACCCTCTGTGACACAGCTTAGTCTCATTGCATCCCTCTTAACCGGAGTGTCCCCTGCTCTAGGCTGAAGGCTCCTTAGGGACACAGGCCATGTCTTACTCAACTGCTCCTGGTCCCTAGGCCTGTTTTTCCAGAGAAAGAGCAGAGAAAAGGAAAGACAACTTAGGCCTGTCCATCCAGGCTAAAGAAGGGTTCTTAGCCCCATATTTCCAGAACATTCTTTCTCAAACATCATCTTTCCCTTTCCCCTCTCTGCTTCTTCATTGTTGTCTTTCTTTTTAGTGCTAAGAAGGGGAAGCTGGATGTGACTGCTGTGAGTGACCATGAGGATGGACCACACTGACACCTTTCTTATGCCCTCTAGGCAATACTTGCTGGTTCAAACAACTGATTTTTTTTTTTTTGACAGCTGAAGATTTTGTGAACCCTGTGGGTAGCAGCCTTCTTTCCATTATGTCCACACTTCTGTATTCTACAGTCTGTGATAACCAGACTGACATAACCAAATCTGCTTATGCCAGTTCAGATGTATTCACTATATTAAAAACAATAACACCAGAGACATACACACACACACACACACACACACACACACACACACACACACACATACACACACATGCACACGCACACGCACACACAAACCCAAACCTTTGGTTTGACTTTATGAGTCTTCCATTTAACAACAGTGGGAAAGCTGAATGGATGTACTAAAAACCACAGTTACTCACTGCAAATTTTGATCTTTTCCTAGGCTAGTGATGTGTGAAGTGTTACTCTCTTGGGAGGCTGGGCAGTGGCAGTGAGCCACAGTGCCCACAGGCTCACAAGGGGGAAGAATTAACACAGTGCCGTGTGCCGAGTTGCCAAGTGAGGGAGTCTGGTAGCTGGATGTGTATTTTGACTTGGGATATTTTCAGGTTACACTGGGAATATCAGAATATAACTTTACCATACGTTGAGGACTATCTGTACAAATGAAATGACTGTTAAAAGAAAGAATGATTGTGTCTCTGAAGACATTGCTAAACAAACTGGAACGAGCTAATGAATCAAGGCGAGTTGACTGAGGTAATTGCTGGTGCATTTGTTACAGATGAGGCATGGGGGGGGGAAGCAATAAAAATGTAGGAGGGGCCAATTTTCATGTGGTTTTAAAAAATCTTAATGCAGCTTAATAATATTTAAACTGGATGGTTTATTTAATAAAGAAGCCCAAGTCCTTTGGAATTTCAGTCACAGAAAAGTCTTTGATCTTACTTCATAGCCTGTCACACGAATGCTCCTTTGCATAACATACATGTCTAGAGCAGTGCTTCTCAACCTTCCTAATGCTTCGACCCTTTAGTTCAGTTCCTCATGTTGTGGTGACCCAACCATAAAGTTATTTTTCTTGCTCCTTCATAACTGTAATTTTGCTACTGTTATGAGTCACAATGTAAATATATCCAATATGCAGGATATCTGATATATAATTCCTAAAGGGGCTGTGACCCATAGGTTGAGAACTGCTGATCTACAGGGCTTAAAGTAAGTGAACGCCACGTCTCCCAAGTTTTACTTTACTAACTCTTGCAGTGAACTGAGCAGCCAGAAGTCTTCATTGTGCCTGATAAAGAACCATCTGCTCTGGACAAAGTACCCCATTCAGCTTCTAGTACCAGACAGCCTGTGGGACTGGGGTCATCAAGCCGGAAGCTTGGCATGCCACCTGCCTTATCTCTACTCCTGGTGAGCCACTGGAGGTGGTGGCCACTTTGACAAAGCATTTTCTACTGGTTGAGTGTGAAACTCAGAGATGGCTAACTCAAGGGCTGGGAGTTAATGGGGTGGCTCAGTGGGTATGGACGCTTGGTGTTCAAGGTGTGAGTGAGGACCTCAGTTTTAATTCCCAGAATCTATGTAAAAAGCTATAAATGGGTATGCGTGCTTGTGTATGGCTGAATATCCCCCCTAACTTCAGTGAAGTGAGGAGCAGTGCCAGGAGGCTTAACACACTCACTGGTCACCACTCTAGCTCCAGATTTGGTGAGAGATGCTGGATCAGAAAACAAAATGGATCGTGATAGGGTGGATTACCTGATGTCCCCCTACAGCCACATCCACATGCATACAACTCTCACCGCCCCCCACAAAGTAAGCAGAACAGGGAAGGGCTAAAACAGATTTTGACTATGGGTTATATGCAGGTAGGATCATCCCAAGAAATTACCATCCGGGTTCAGAATGGCCAGAAGGTTATAGAGTACTGAGCAAGGAACACACGGCTGGTGCTGTAACTGCTGACCATGAGGCCACGGTCTTGTATTTCCAACCTGTTTGTCTGTGGCCAGTGCCACACTGGGAACCTGTTCACTATTGTGAACACTTGGCACTTTCAGGCTTGCCTGTGCCATTAGGGAGTCTTCTCCAGAGTGCTGGCTCCAGTGACCTCTAGTGGTGATAGCCAGTCCTGCAAGAGGACCTCGGGGGAATGTGAAATCCCATCTTGGCTTGTCCTGTTTAGCTGTCTGTCTATCTCTATCATCTATTTGTTTGGTTTTTTTTTTTACTTATACTAAAAATAGTTATCTCTACATCAAAACTTCACCTTGGCTTCTCTTGGATGCATCACCCTAACAAGGACACATTGAGTCTAACATACCAAATAGGGAACAGACTCTTGTACTGTTAGTGTACAAGGAACTGAGTCATGCAAGATGACTAAGGGGTAAAGGTGCTTGCTGTCAGTTCAGCCCTGGAATCTATGCGGTGAAAGGATAGAAGTGATTCCTGCAAGTGGTCTGTGTGTGTATCTGTGCCATGCTCATGTGTGTCTGTGTGTGCACACACACAATAAAGTGTAACAAACTTTTTTTTTAAAGATATCTGGAATTGATCTATTTAAATGAACATGAAATTGGATCCATTCATGCTGAGTCACGGGACAACAGCACCTGCTTACTCTGAGCTTACCAACTATCAGGGACCTTACAAATGTGAACTCTACAAGTCCTCGTGGTAACTACCAGGTCTGTTTGGTTAGGGTCCCCATTTTGCAAATGAAGGGACTTTCACAGTCATTCCTCATTGCTGGGTATCCAAAAGGGCTCCCAGAGACAGTCCAGTCAGCTAAACCTTTTCTATGTGATTACTAGAGCTTTTATTATATAACCTGTCTGGGACTGTGTTCATCTTGATTGTCATCTTGATGGGAATTAGAGTCACTTAGGAGATGCACTTTTGGGCATATCTGTGAGGGTGTTTCTGGAAAGGTTTGACGGTGGAGGGTAGACCCACCCTCTGTGTGGATAGCACCATTTCATGGATAGAGCTCCTATTCTAAACACAAAGGAGACAGCAAGCTGAGCGCTGGGATTTACCTTTCTCTGCTTCCTGATTGCAGACACAGTGATGGGCTGCCTCATCCTCCTGCATCCACACCTTCCCAACATCAGATCCCAACAAACTCTTAAGTCCTTAAGGCCCTCTGGCTAGGCTTTTGCCATAGCAGTGAGAAAAACAACAGTGCCCCCCCCCCACACGCAGAACCTATTCAACTGTCTCACTCATCTTCATCCACCCTCTTTCTGTCATCATGCCACCTTTTCTGTTGGGCCAGCAAGACTGTGACTTGGTCAGATTTGTGACATAGACACTAACACAGAGTATATCATTAGCCAATGTTTGTTGAATGAATGAAAGTTTCTGGTCCTTGATCAATCTAATTCATTCTTTTTTCTTAGTTTCAGGCTCACCTCCTTCTGGGGAGAGAACCGTCAAGCAGTAACAATTTTGCCTCACTGAAGCAATACCAACATCAGCCACCACTATGCCAGGGACAGCATCCCCCAGCACAGTGCTGACACCTTACTTGCCACACAGCAAACCTTGCCCAATTCCCTCAATCCCAACAAAGCAGAACCAGGAAAAAACCAATGATGCTCTGACTTTAATACTAGGCTCTAAGGCACAGGGAGGTTAGGAACTTGCCAAAGTCACACAGGCAGGGGGACCAGTTGGTTCTAAGGGTTATGTTTTCCCAATTCTCTCCTAGAAAGCTAGCTTTCTTACCAAACTGTCTCAGGGTTCTTTTTATATCCTGCACCCTGATTTTCTGACCTGAGACTTTGCGATAGACGGAGGCACAGGAATGCAAAATAAATTTATGTTAGGGGGATCCTAAAGTCATCTGCTGTTTCCGTCTCTGCTGACGCTGCCCACTAATATTCTAAAATGGAGCTCTGTAGAGAAAATTCTGAAAGAGGAAAATCTGGCCTGCAGTAGTCAGGCTAAGATGGTTGAATATATTTTATTCTTATTTTGATCCAGGCATCTGGTCTGACTCCAGCTGCTTGCCCCTGCCTGAGGGGCACAGGCTGGGTGGAACTGAGCTGTAATTATTTAAATGAGGAGTCAGGGACACCCCAGAGCAGTCTTTCAACCTTGAAGCACTTGTTTTATGGTCAAACAGAGCTCCTACACTGAGCTGGAAGCTGTGGCAGAACTGATCAACTACTGTGTAGGGAATAGCCATTTGGGAGGGTCACAGTGGTGCCCCAGGACAGATGAGTAGCAGGTCCCCTCCTACCTCCCCTTCGCCCTTTACTGAGCACATCCTCTCCATTTATTGGCTCATTAGGCAATGCCTCACTTGCTGTACATCTCCAGACTATTCTCAGTGGTCTGTCTGCATCCCACAAGTCTGTGCTTCAGAATAGCAGCTTGTCTTGCAAACCTCCCAGACAACGGTCCCCACCAGCCAGACCCTGCAGCTGCAGCTACCTTCCTGTCACTCTTGATTCTGCAAAAACCCAGGGGAGAAGCTCTTGGGCTCACTGAGTGCCTTGGTCCTCAGGAGAGCCACAGGCTACAGTGCACTAGGGGCTGCAAGGATGCCATGCAAAGGGGTGGTGCTCTCAGCATAGACTCAAGGCAGGTCACACACAGGAGCAAGAAAGGGGATGGACTGGAGTCACTCAGCTCTAAGTTTAAAATCTGTTTCCAGGGAGTATCTGTTATTGGTCACCTTCAACGAAGAACCATAACCAGGAATTGGAGGGCTGGCTCAAGAGTTAAGAGTACTTTCTGTTCCCCCTGAGGACCAGAGATGGGTTACCAGCACCCATATCCAGTGGCTCATAACAGCCCATAACTCCAGCTTCAGGGAATCTGATGCCCTCTTCTGGCCTCTGTGTGTACTGCACACATATGATACACACACACACACACACACACACACACACACACACAAGAGAGAGAGAGAGAGAGAGAGAGAGAGAGAGAGAGAGAGAGAGAGAGAGAGGCATGAATGTATACATAAATGAAAATAAGTAACTTTAAAATGTGTATGGCAAATTGTGCAAAGGAACTAGAACCAGACAGAAATGTAGCTTAGCACACATAAGGCTGTGGTTCAATCCCAGTGCTGCAAGAGAACCCACCTCAATCCAAACTAAACAAATGAAAAGATCTTAAGCAGTAACAAAACCCCAAACAGTACTGTAAGTAAAGATTTACTGAATACCCCATATGTCCCATGCCACTGATCCCACCCTGGGGTGATGTGAACACTTGGGGTAGACTAGCCTGGGCCCTCTTGGGTATCACTATCATCTGGGAATTCAGATAAATGTGATCCTGTGATGGTATGGACTTTCTGGGTCTCAAGGTCTTTACCTTAAGTTGGAGAAGATATAATTTATTCAGAGAATTGGTTCATGGAGAATTTTAAATAGTCTCTATGAGAGTGTGGCACAGGTCTAACTGGGCCCTTAAGGTCCAACTAGCAAAATCAGCAATGAGTTCTTAGTACATTTTTACAAGTATGTAAGAATAGAAAAGGCCAGGGGAAGGCAGCTCCTTGATGCAGCGCTCCCTGGTGCCATGTCCTTAGAAGGAGCAAGAAAAGCCCCTGTCACACAGTGTTCCCATAAAACCTGTTCCCTTTGCCCTTCTCTCGGGAGAACTGCACTGCTCAGTGTGTTGTGTCTTTGCTTACTATGTGAAACAGGGATCTTGACATATGTCAACAAGGAGTCAGTGGGGTCAAGAGCCCTTTCCCCAGTGCTGTGGCCACCAGGTGCTGAGCATTTTGTCTGTGGTACCCTAGGAGTAACAGGATGCATGGGTCACATAATCTCTACTCACCATAGTCAGTGTTTTCAGGTTCCCAGCAGTTTGAAGGCCAGAAGTAAGGAGCCTGCAACAGAGCACACAGCATCAGGACCAGAGGCATGCAGTTGTAAAAACAGAAATGTCAGCTGTGGGCAGACACTCCTTTACCCTTGGCACAGGCTGGCACAGTTTCCTCTTTAACACCTCGGCAGAACTATTTCCCCAAAGCCTTTGGCTTAGGCTTTGACACAGCTCCCAACTCTCTGTCTCTCTCTCTACTCCCTCTAAGGCAGAGTCTGGGAGAAGCCTTAACAGGAGGATGAGTGAGCACATAGCACATGAGAATACACTCCAGGGTGATACAAATCAAGTATGGTGATGGGGGATGTCCTTCTGGATATGTTTCTCTTATTGATTGATGAATAAAACACTGTTCCGCCAATGAGGCAGGAAGATAGGAGGGACTAGGAGATGAGAATTCTGGGAAAGGTAGGCAGGAGTTGTGATGCTGCCTGAGGAGTAACACCATGCCAGGCATTACTAGGTAAGTCACAGCCTTGTGGGTTAATGATTAAGACAGAGCTAGCCAATAAGAAGCCCTAGTCATCAGCCAACAGTGTCATAATTAATATAGTGTCTGTGTGTTCATTTGGGGCAAGGCAGTCGTGGAACCGGGTGGGAAATCCCATAACAGTATGGTACTTTCACATTCATGCAGGCTTAGCCTCCTAGGATCACTAAAAGGCATGTTCATTCTCTGAGCAACTCCATCACAAGGGGCTTAGACAGTGTCCCCAAATATCCACATTGTAAGATGGGTGATATCCACTCCTGTAACAGCTTTTCTTCCAGAAGAAATGAAGGAAAGTATATGTTCTCATCTGAACCCTAGTCCTCCAGGAGACATTTTCATTTGAACCCCAGTCCTCCAGATGACACTCTGAATAGACAGGCTCTTGGGATTAGAGAGATGGCTCAGTGGTTAAGAACACTTACTCTTCTTACAAAGGACCTGGGTTCAATTCCCAGCACCCACATGGTGCCTCATAACCATCTATAACTTTAGTTCTAGACCATATGACACGCCCCCTATGTCCTCTGTGGGCCCTAGATATGCACATGGCCAATATAAACACATCCAGGCAAAAACCAAGTACATATAAAATAAAAAATATATATCTTTGTGTTGAAGATGAGAGATGGGGCCTTTGGAAGGTGAAGGGGACATAGAGTTTGGGGAATCATAAGTGAATTTAGTGTCCTTATTTTTAAAAAGCCTTGAGGGAGGGAGATACCTCATCCCTTCCATCATATGAGGGCACAGCTAGAAAGTTCCATTCATGAGATAGAGGGTGCTCCCCCACCAGACACTTCCCATGCCCCCAAACTGTGAAAAATGATGTTTATAAGATATGCAGGAGATTCTATGACAACACCCCTAAGGGGCTTAGACACTGTTCCCAAATACCATAGACTATCAGTGAGGGCCTTTTTTAAGTGGGTCACCCAGTGGCTAAGTTAACATCTCAAAGCTTTCCCAGTACTTCAGGGAGACATTTGCCCTCTCAAGAATGCTTAGTTGTTCTAGGTGGTTCTAATGTGAGGTTACATGGTGATGAGCAGAAGGGTTCTTTGGGAGGACCAGCAGGCCTACCTGGAAACGGTAAAAGGTGCTATCGTCTTTCATGGTGAGAACGTGGTCTGAGATTGGGAAGATGTAGCCCTGGGCGGCAATAAGGCTTCCCAGGTGTATTGCTTCAACTGAAAGGAGAGGAAAGAACAAGGAAGCAGGTCATTCAGCTAAACCATGTACTGGGAGAGCAAAAGGTGACCTGAGGTCATGTGTCATTCCTCTGGACAATGGTGCTGATGATGTCTTCCCTTGCTCATGGTAGCAATGGGAGGACACTGACAACTGAGAAGGACCATTGCGTGTCTGGCTTTCTCTGAGAATCTGACCATGCCTAGCCACTCATTCTCCAAAACAAAGTCAGATCTAGCAGCATGGCATGGGCCAAGCAGACCCTAAAGCAGTGAGGCATCTCACATGGTGCTTAGCAGTGACTGGTCAGGGATAGCACTCAGCCTGAGATGGCAGCACTGAGTCATGGCTCTCACGTCTCTGATCCTTGGCACTGGGGATGCAGTTTTGTGGTCCAGAAGCTTCAGCATCTCCTAGTGACATGACAAGAACACGTCTCCTCTGATGGACTAGGGCAAGACCTCACTTTCCCAGAAAGTCAGAAGAAGGATGATGGGGTGAAAGTGCCACGGGAGACAAACCATATAGAAAAATGAGCACTTCTGCCAAAATCAACCTGCTGTTTCCTTATCTCAGCCCCATCCATAAACAGGTTTCCATCAGTTGTTAAAGATTTTATCCCAAGAGGCCCATATAGAAGGGGAGGGTGGGATCCAAATTCTCCTATGAGCAGTTTTATAATAAGCTGTGCATTTTAAAGTCATTTGTCTTGTCTGTAACCGCAAGCTTTTCCACATCAACTACAACCCACCTGCTTTGCTTTCTAAGAATCACCAAGTCCCCTTGGAAGTAGTGCCCATAGTGGGTGGACTCCAAATAAGTGACCTGCTTCCTGATGACCAGTTTGCCTTTACAATTCTATATGGTTGTCCCTATATATCTATGCAGACTTTGTTTCAGGGCCCCCATGAAGATCAAAGTATTTGGATGCTCAAGTCTTGATATCAAAGGGCTCATGTGTGTATAACCTGCACACACTTTCCCACAAGCTTCAAGTCATTTCTAGGTTACTTTCGATGCCTAACACAGTCCAAATGCTGTGCAAATGGCTGTTATACTGTAATGCTTAGGGGATAACAAACTGTCTCTATGTTTCTGTGCTATGCTGAGCACAGAGACATTTTTGTATCAAATATTTTCAATCCAATGTTAGTTGACTTCAAGGATAAAACTCTGAACACATGGAAGTCCAATTGTCTGCTTCAAGAAACATGAGCCAGATGTGATGGCTCAGGTCTACAATTCTAGCACCTGGGAGCCTAGGGCAGGTGAATTGAGAGGTGGAGGCCAGCTTGGGCTACATAGTAAAACTAACCAACAAACATAAAAACCAACCAATGAGCCAACCAACCAACCAACCAACCAACCAACCAACCAACCAACCAAAACCCTAACACAAACAAAGGGAAGACTGGCAGGTCTAACAAGAAGGAAACTCTCACTTTGAAATTCTTTTACTTTGACAGAAGGGAACAAAGACAAGACAGAGGAGCCAGCAAGGGACTTCCATTGAACATGCTGACTTCCCAGGTTGTGGTTTGTGGCTTCATTTTCTATTACTACCTGGCAAACTGTTTTAGCTTCTCCTTCCCCGCTATTTCTCAGAAACCCAAACTTGTGCCAGCATCTTGATGTCCTTCCCAAAGGTATCAGAGAAAAGCATGTGACCTTCACCAGTCTGGACCTCCCACAGAAGTTTCTCATGCCACAAGAGTCTCACTTACATTAGCTAGTTGAAAGTTCTCAGAACATTAATAATAATGAGAATAATGAATTTAGTGGCTACTTCAGAAGGGTCAGGAAGTGCTCTTAGCAAATTCTACCATGAAAAATGGCCTTAAGTTAGCATGATTGAAAAGGAACAGTGATTTTAGAGAAATGTCACCAAATAGCTAGATGCCTATCCAGGCTGATTGCCTGGACAATCAGAAGCCCAGGCTATCTAATGGAAACACCAAAAGGAGCTGACTTGGAGACTAGCCTTCGAGTGAAATTCTTAGCATAGGCGCTGTTTCTTGTGAGCTAAGAACTTCACTGGAATTAAGAATTTTTGTTAGCTGACAGACTGGCCACTGATCCAGGACATGAAAAGGGTAAGGATCACTTCCAAAAATCACCTGCTCTTCGGGGCTCATGTTTCCATTGACTTCATTTAATTGAATTATTTGAAACTGCATTGTTGTACACTCAAGGGTAGATTAGCAATATCCGGTTAAAAATGCAAGCCTGGGTTGGCATATTGATTCCAAATAATCACAATCTTAGACCCAACGCTTGATGCAAATTCTCAGAAAGCAGGGTACTAAGGTCCATTTAACTTATGGTATCTATGTCCCCCAAGGATGACCATTAAGAACATCAGAGCAGAGGACTGGGTATATGCAGCTCAGTGGTAGAATGCTTGCCCAGTAGGAAAAAGGCCCTGGATTTACTCAGCACTAATGTGAACCCCTGAGTAGATTCATTATGGATATTTGTAAGTGTGATCTTTGAGTATTAATAACACCAGTTAAGCCAGACAAATGAATGTGTGCTAAATTCTAAGGAATAAGAAATCCAACAACAGATTCACAGCACACTGATGAAAATCAACTTTAGCTTTCTAGAAGTTTAATTTTTTTTTTTCTGGAGCCCTTCCCCCATTTCCTAACGAGACTGCCAAAACTCATTGTCCTGCTTATTTTCTGGTGGAAGGACAGCTGTAGAAGCTCTTCATTGGTCAGGGTTTTGCTGTTTTTCTGGTGGACTTTGCCTAACTGAAATGCACAATTAGAGTTGAAAAAAAAACCTTCTTCACTTCTTGCAGAAGCAGAAAACAGAAGGAGTTTTAGCAAATAATTAAACATCTTAATTGTGGATCAGGCAATCTAATTTTAAGAGCTGCTTCTAGAAGACTGTTCTGTGACAGGGCTACAACTTATCTTTAATTGCTATGGCTAACGAGAACTCATCTCATTTCACACGCTATTGTGTTGAGCTCTTTGGCATTCTAAATAGTGGCTCATTTCCTCAAAGGGTGATTTTCACGTGATGACAGACATCCAGTGGAGAAAATAAATGACTTCTATCTGCACATACAATGATTACACATCCTGGAATCCACCATGATAAGCCTTTTCAAGACTGTATAGGGCCCACTGGGGAAGTTATCTATGGCATGTGTGCCAACACAAGGGGAGGTAAAGGCAAGGTCAAGGTGAAGTACCTGGGTCCTCAATGGAAAGGTTCTTCATAAGCCACTGCACAATGTCTGTACCTGCAATGACAAAGCCATTTGAGTTGAAGATCTCATGGGTAGCAGAAGAAACATCTTTACCAGAGTCCTAAGCCCAGCAGCACACAGCCTAAAAGCTGGACAATGTTGCAATTCCCCCATGCTAACCAGCTCCTCCCATCCACTCGGACATGTCCAAGTTATGATTTAGTAATTGTCATCCCTCCTTATCTTCTTCCTTTAATGGAGACAGGCTTTTGTGCATCCCAGACTGGCCTTGAATTTTCTATATAGCTGAGGATGCTGTGGTCCGGGTCCTGTACCACCACCCCTAGTTTATATAGTGCTGGGGATTAAACCTGGGGCTTCATGCATGCCATGGCACTGGTACCAGGCAAGCACTGTACCAATTCAGCTGCACTCCCTGTCTATATTTCAATTCTTTTACCAGAAAAGAATCCACCACCAACAACAAAAACAAAACAAAAAGCAAAACCAAAATCTAACCAACTAACCAATCAAAAAACAAAAAGCAAACCCACTTCCGATGCTTCAGTTACACCCCGAATTTTCAGAAGCATCTATCAGGAACTTTCTGGGGACACAGGTTTCAATGCTTCCCCAAGGCAAGCCAGTGAAGGCTGAGCTTGCCTGCTCCCAGAACATTTTTTTTTCAGCACTATGGCCTTACTGACAAGTGCTAATCAACTCAGGGTATTTTAGAGGTCCTTGGGAAACTCGTTCTTTTCATGCTTGAGTCCATTCTGAACCAACATGCCTCTGAGTCCAAAGACCATTTCTGGGTCATCACTGACAGTTTCTTTCTCTTCCTCTGGGACTCAACTACCATAAATTTCCAGGCTTCCCCAAAGTTGTCTATAGACTGAACCATACTAGTTACATGTGGGTAGAATGACCTATACTACTGTCTGAGCTGGCCTGTGAAAACCTCCTCCACACTTACAGACCCTTCTCTTATTTATCTGGGAAACTGAGTGAAGAAGAGACACAATATGGAAGGGTCCATGAACCCTACCATAAAAATTAATGATGACTTAGATCCCTCTCAAGAGGTATTACTTGTGTGGGAATAACCACAGTTTCTTCTAGCTAGCATGTTTAAGATAAGTCACACTTGAACAGAAATTTGACCTCCTCTTATTTCTTCCTGTCAGCTTTAATTACATCTTCTGATGACAGAAGAGGAAACCAGACCCAGATCTTGTCACTCTGACACCATCCCTTCAGATTTTGAGCAGTTCTTCCGTGAATCAAGAATGTCATCATTCCCAGTGTGACGGACCTGGAACCATTCCATGGCTTGGCCTGGAGCTCCTCACCATTGGCCAAAGTCTTCCAAGCAAGCTCCCTTGTACTGTCTTCCTTTAAAAGGACGGTACCTAGAGCCCATGTTGCAAGAGCAGCATAGCTCACATGGGTGTGTATAGGGAATGGAGGAATCCCCCAGTGAGTGAAATGAGGAAGTCCTGAGGGAATATGTATTTTGACATGAGCATAGGTGTGTCAAGGACCCCACTGTCTCAACCCTGTGGATCTGGCAAAGCCTTCCCCATGGTGAGGCTCAGAAGTATAGCAAAGTCTTCTTTGGGGGTCAGGGGGAGTCCAAGTGCAAGCAATTGATCAGTGTGCACAAAAGCTAGCAGCTGCACCTTCTTCCTCCTAGGTGTCTACAACCCGAGACATTCCCTCACAGAGACCTCCAATCAATTCTAGATACACCCACTCTCTGTGCTGTACGTAACAAGTACACAGAGGATCTGGGTGGCCAGGTTAGACAGTGTGGCTCCATCAGAGTGCACACACTCCACCAGACCCCGCTCTCCCCCCCCTGCGCCTCTGTGTCTGTCCTCTTTTCATTCCTTTTCCTCCCTAGTCAGGGTTTCAGGACCCAAACCTCAAGGAATGGAACAGAAGCACAAGAGCCCAGTTATTTGCAAGATTAAGAACATCTTATCAGCCCACCAAGTCACCCAAAGATTTTGTTTCACACCGGTGAAGTCCTCTAAACATGGCTTCATTTCTTGTGAGATATTTGATGGAAAATAGGTCAAACGGAACAATATTTCCAGATCTGAGTCAAGAATGGGCCTGAAGCCTTGGGTTTGTGTGTGGTGGTGGTGGTGATGGTTGTCTGTTAATCTAGTTCCTGGCTGGATTCCCAGCCAGGTGAATGAGATCCAGCAGTGGCTTTTACTGAGGTACCCTTTTCCCAGGAATCAAAATTTTCAGCCATTTTACCATGGACTAGAAGTAAGATCCCTGCTGCCCAGACAACCTGGACATTTGGTCTCTGTGTGGCTCTGGAAGGTGTTGAAACAGTGCAGCAGAGCTGCCAGGGCCCACCCTCCTTCTGGGCTTTGCCCAGGGCCAAGCCTTATTGACAATGCCATGTCCTCACACTTCAGCCTCAAAAGCAAGATTCAGAAGCCTCCCACCCTTGCTTCCGGCCCATGCCTGAGAGCTGAAATTGGTTGTAAAAACACTCTTGTCCATTCACATCTGCGGAGAGGGAGTCCACTTGTGCAGCAGTGTGCGCGTGTGAGCATGCTCATTTCCCTCAAATTACAGAAGTTGTGCATCTGTCCTAGGAAATGTAGAGCAAAGCAGACATCAAATAAGATCTGTAATCCCAAATTGGGGGTAGGGGAGAGACACTAACCTGTTCTTCTTCTTCTTTTTTTTTTTTTTTCTCAAAGAAAAATAGTTCTTTTCTGTGGGTTGCCTGGAAACTGCAAGGCTTCCAGTATCACCCCGGCTCTCCCTGGGGCCTGAGGATTATCTTTCCGCTGAGCTTGCTCAGCCATTATTTATCACCTGCCAAGATTGATTGCTCACCCTGGGACAATGACAGCCCTTCCTTTCCCCTGTTAATTACTGTCATCATTAATATCCATGTCACTAATTAGTATTCATTCGCATTGAATCTCCTTCCTTGCTATCCTACCCACCACCACCCCCAGCACCCCAGCACCATTGTCTGGATTTCTGCCCCATTTGGCACTCAGTTTCTGGCCCAATTGTTCCAGGCCCCACCATGCCCTGGCTGCATTTACCTAGCTAAAGGATCACAGTTAAGCACTTTTCTTGTGAGGAAGATAAAGTCACAAAGGCCCCTTTTCCTTCTACTCCTAATACTTTGGGGACCACAGAGCTGGGTTTTCTGCTATGGTACAGTGACCATGGCAGTTGCCATGCCCTGTGGGGACTGTTAAGCTGCTATTCTTGGCCGTCCTGGGCCAGGATACTTTATCTGCTGTACCATCGCTGTACTGTGTCCCTCACACACTGTGGGTACCATTCTGTGGCATGCAGCAAACATATTGGAAGATGCTTAGGGATGGGTGGACACTCCTACAGGCCTCTAAGGACAGACACACAAGTAGCCTACTCCAGTTTAGGGGAAGGAAGTGAACCACTGTGGTTGTGTCCCAGAACAAGAAGGGAAGGCAAATATTAGGAAAGTGCTCCAACTAGACACTTTGGAGCCAGACAGGAACAGTCCACACAGTAAGAGACCCTATCTTTGTAAACCTTTAAATCCTAGAACTGAGGAGGCAGAGGATCTCTGAGTTCAAGGCCCATCTGATCTACAGAGTGAGTTCCAGGACAGCCAGGGCTACATAGAGAAACACACTCAGCAAGCATTCGCTTTCTCATTTTTATATTTCGTCTCTCTCCACCAACCCCAGAGACTCTCTCTTTCTTCCTCTTACAAAAAAGAATTGGAAGATTCTTTTCTGTTCTATCAGAAAATAATTGCTGCCTTTTATTTCCACTGTTGAATTTGAGATGTTATCTTAGTCAAGATGCCTTACAGGGACTTAAAGATAGGTAATAGCCCACAACATAACACACATAGCACAGTCACCCTCTATTCCTGAGAGCCCAAAACACTGACCTGGAAGTTGTCTTTCTGAGGCCAACTACATGTGTGTGTCTCTCTATGTATGCACTATGTACATGTTTGTGTGAGTGCACATACAAGTATTTTCACATACATTTGTAAATCAGACACGAATGCCAGCATATTCTTCAGTTACTCTCCGCCTCATTCTTGAGATAGGGTCTTGGTCTCTGTCTCTCTATCTCTGTCTCTCTCTGTGTATGTGTGCATATGTGCGTGCGTGCATGTGTGTGTATGGGGGGTGTTTCTGTCTCTGTCTGTCTCTCTCTTATGGCTTTTTGAGACAGGGTTTCTCTATGTAGCCCTGGCTGTCCTGGAACTCACTCTGTAGATCAGATGGGCCTTGAACTCAGAGATCCTCTGCCTCCTCAGTGCTGGGATTTAAAGGTTTACAAAGATAGGGTCTCTTACTGAAGCCGGGGCTCATCTATTCCTCTAGGCTAACTGGTTGGTTGGCTGGCTGTCCAGGGAGCCACAGAGATCCACCTGTGTCTGTCTGCTTTCCCAGTGCAGGAATTATAGGAACATGACCACACCCAGCTTTTAAGTGGGTCCTGGAGATCTGAACTTGTGTCCTTATGCTTGTGTGACAAACACTTTAGCAACTGAGCCATCACCGCAGCCCCAATGAAACTAATTCATTAACTCACAATACAGGAGCGTCAGTAAAGGGTACACCAAAGGGTATCCAAATACCTTCCACTGCATGTGTGTTGGCTCCTTGTGTTTACGTATGTGTTTATTATCAACATGTAAGTTTATTACATGTAAGTCTATTACATGCTGATAATAAATACGTGGTGGTAGTATGCCTGTCTACTGTATCTTTTACATAAAAACATGTCCTGAGAATTTTTGTTTTCTTGGAAGCAAATAGTGATGAACAAAGACTAGTGTCTCTGGGCTGGGTATTGTTTATGTTTTGTCTTATGTAGCCAGGGCTGGCCTGGAAGATGCTGGCAAAGATGGCTAACTTCTGCCTCCACCTCCTGAGAGATGAGATTGCTGCTGCTGTCACACTCAGTTGATGCAGTGTTGGGGGTCAAACCCAGGGCTTTGAGGATGTTAGGTGAGCACTCTACCAATTAGGCTACATCTCCAGTCCCAGTTTTGTCTC